CAGCCAGTTATATCATACATACATTTATAAACGTCCCCCCATAAAGCCTTATGGGGTACGCTGTCACGTGACCTTAAAAACCTCTAAGGAAGGAGATTCCACCACCGCCCTAGGTAAATCATTCCAGTGCTTAACCACCCTTCTAGTGAAAAAGTTTTTCCTAATATCCAACTTAAACCTCCCCCACTGCAACTTGAGACCATTACTCCTTGTTCAGTCATCTGGTACCACTGAGAACAGTCTAGATCAGGGGCGGGCAAACTTTTTGGCCTGAGGGCCGCATCGGGTTTCCAAAATTGTATGGAGGGATGGTTAGAGGAGGCTGTGCCTCTCCAAACAGCCAGGCGTGGCCCGGCCCCCGCCCCCTGATGGCCCCCCATGGACCCTTGTCCCATCCACCCCCCCCCGTTCCCTGTCCCCTGACCACCCCATGAATCCCTGCCCGACTGCCACCCGATTGCCTCATCCAACCCCTCCTCTCATTCCTGACTGCCCCCCCCCGGGACCCCTGCGCCATCCAGCCACCCCTTCTCCCTGTCCCCTGATTGCCCCTGGAACCTCTGCCCCTGACTGCCCCCCATCCAACGCCCCTCCTTCCTGACTGCCATCCCGCAACCCCTACCCCCATTCAACCCCCCTGTTCCCTGCCCTCTGACCGCCCTGATCCCTTCCACACCCGTGCCCCCGGACCACCCCCCCCGAACTCCCCTGCTCTCTATCCACCCCAACCCCTTACCACGATGCCTGGAGCACTGGTGGCTGGCGGTGCTATAGCTGCGCTGACCGGCTGGAGCCAGCCACGCCACCGTGCAGCACAGAGCACCGGGTCAGGCCGGGCTCTGCAGCTGCACTGCCCCAGGAGCTCACAGCCCCGCGTCCCAGAGCATTGAACTGGCGGCGCAGTGAGCTGAGGCTGTGGGGGAGGGAGAACAGCAGGGGAGAGGCCGGGGGCTACCGTCCCGGGCCAGGAGCTCAGGGGCCGGGCAAGAGGGTCCCGTGGGCCATTGTTTGGCCACCTCTGGTCTAGATCCATCCTCTTTGGAACCCCCTTTCAGGTATTTGAATGCAGCTATCAAATCTCCCCTCATTCTTCTCTTCTGCAGACTAAATAATAATCCCAGTTCCCTCAGTCTCTCCTCATAAATCATGTGCTCCAGCCCCCTAATCATTTTTGTTGCCCTCTGCTGGACTCTTTTTTCAATTTTTCCACATCCTTCTTGTAGTGTGGGGCCCAAAACTGGACACAGTACTCCAGATGAGGCCTCACCAATGCCAAATAGAGAGGAATGATCATGTCCCTCGATCTGCTGGCAGGGCTCCTACTTATACAGTCCAAAATGCTGTTAGCCTTCTTGGCAACTAGGGCTCACTGTTGACTCATCCAGCTTCTCGTCCACTGTAACCCCTAGGTCCTTTTCTGCAGAACTACTGCCTAGCCACTCGGTCCCTAGTCTGTAGCAGTGCATGGGATTCTTCCGTCCTAAGTGCAGGACTCCGTACTTGTCCTTGTTGAATCTCATCAGATTTCTTTTTGCCCAATCCTCTAATTTGTCTAGGTCCCTCTGTATCCTATCCCTACCCTCCAGCGTATCTACCACTCCTCCCAGTTTAGTGTCCTTGTTGGATATGGACATATGACGAATGTGTCCTTGTTGGATGCTACTGTTGTGGCAAATGATACAACCACTTCCTTTTCTGCAGTATTGGCAAATGGCTGGTTATATTTCAGAATAATTCTTGAGTTTAGCTTGGAACAATTTAGATAAAACATGTAGCTTATCATTATGCTCAACTTGTGGAGCAAGCCTGAGAAAAGGAGGCCAAGGAGAAATTCTTGACACCTTAATTTTTTGGAGGCTAAGGATGGTCTATTGGTAAGGGTGCTAGTCTGGGACCTGGATTCAATTCGCTACAGCTCTGCAGACTACATGTGAAACATTGGGCACATTTCTCAATTTCTCTGTGCCTTTCCTCACCATCAATAAAATGGATGTAATAGTATTTTCCTATGTCATAGGGATGCTGTGAGGATAAATACATTTAAAAAAAAAGACACTGAGGTGCTCAGATGCCATGTTACTGGGGGACCGTATAAATACCTAAGAACATAAGTTTAAAAAAAGAGATAGAGGTTGATCAGGAAATAAATGCTGGAGACCGTCCTGTTTTAAGCCCCATATTTAATATCCATTTAAACTTTGTGATTGGCTTTTTGGCACGTCTGAGATATAAGTCAGACAAAAGCATCTGGGTCATTTGGAAGGCCAGATTTAGCTGTACTGCTCTTACCAGGCTGAACTGGCCAACCATGGCAATGTATTTGCCAAACTTGTCAGTTTCAGTTTTACTAAAATTCTAGCAGCCCTTCTAAACCAGTCTTAAAAAAAAAAAATGCCTTCTGTTGCTGATGCATGGTGTTAAGTTTATTAAACACATGTAATTGCTTGTGATAAGCTTACCCACAGTGACACTTCTTGCAGAGTAAGTTACTACTCTGTACGAGTAAGGGTGGCAGAATCTGGTCTTAAGAGACTTGAGCAAGTTTTTTTCAATATACATAGACAAAAGCACATGCTAATACACAGCTTTTGTTCCCCAGGTGTTTCAGCATATGTAGAAGTATGGTCATCCAACAGAACAGAGAATTATTCAAAAACATTTGCACAACAACTTCTGGATATGGGAGCAAAAGTAAGGAAATAATTTTCTTGTAAATGAATCAGGAGGGCAAAGTTCCCTCTTAGACTGTTGCTTGCATATTCTATTTGTCATGTACGTCTCCTTGTATGTATGGGTTAATCTAGGAGGGATGTTGTAAGAGTCAATACTGCTACCATCACTCAAATTCATGAATGTGTATGGCAGATGGGAAATGTGTTAAGCCCTATTATATAGTAGTATACCAAAAAACACGTTGTTGTGAAGCAGTTAGGCCCGCTAAATACAACATACTTGACACAAACCCACAAAAGCAAGGAAAAGAAAAGCTAAGCTGCTTACCAGGACATATCCAGTACTCTTCCATGAACTTTCACCCACCTTGTCATTGCTACAACTATCATAAATCCCAGACCATGCACCACAGTCTTACCTCTAACCTTTTCAACCCACCATCCTGCCAACATCCCTACTAGTGTGGCACTGCTCTGAAAAGTGACTGTAAAAATAGTATTGGGGGATTTTATGTATGTGTTTCAGTGGTGAATATCTCTAATGTGTTTGGTTTTCAAGTGTAAAAATGTTTAACTCCAGATTTCCCCCTCATTTTTTAGCCATGCTGAGCTTGAACCGGAGGCTAGACATCTATGAGGATATGTCAGAGGGACAGGCTGAGATTTTAGTGTGAACGGAAGGAGACAGGCCTGAAGTAGAAAGGGAAACCTACTGTTTACTCATGTTAGCCCAGCAAATCCCAGATGCATGGGCTCCGTATCTAAGAGAGTGCGCTCAGTACTATCTTTCATGTGAATCAGAAAAATTGTTTACTAAATTACAATTAGACACCTGTGCAAGTCTATTAAAGGGGTTGGCACATGTCATTGATAGTACGGGCTATGGAATCTCTGTTAACTGGTGATGATGTGAAAGAAGGAAAGATCCCAGCTTGACTCTAAGCTGATGGAACCTTACCTATGACTTCTCTGTTTCAGTCGGCCTACAAAAAGGAGTTCAGGAGAGCTGGCAGTTTCTCAGAGACAACATTAAAGGCACAGTATCAGAGGGGTAGCCGTGTTAGTCTGAATCTGTAAAAAGCAGCAGAGGGTCCTGTGGCACCTTTAAGACTAACAGAAGTGAGGTTCTTACCCACAAAAGCTTATGCTCCCAATACTTCTGTTAGTCTTAAAGATGCCACAGGACCCTCTGTTGCTCAGTAAAGGCACAATAGCAATCTGTCACGATGTCTATTGAGCTGTGACACTCTAAGGGCAAGTCTACACTACAAAATTAAGTCGACTTAAGTTATGTTGACGTACAGCCACCTCAGTAATTAAATTGGTTTTTCATGTCTACGCTACTTCTGTTGGTGGTGCTCATCCTCACTAGGAGCCCTTCCATCGATTTAACTGACCATGTGGGGCACTGTGGAGCACTGGGGCTGACAGCTGGAACAGTCAATGCAGTGTCTACGCTGACTCTGCGTCGACCTAACTATGTCTGACCTACGATCTATGCCTCTTGCAGAGGTGAAGTTATAAGGTCAGTGCAGTGGGTGACTTACATTGGTGGGAGCAACATTGTAGTGTGGACGCTTACAGAGTTAGGTTGACCTAACTCTGTAGTGTAGACCAGGCCTAATTTTCCCAGACCTGAAGAAGAGCTTTGTGAAAGCTTGTCTCTCTCACCAACAAAAGCTGGTCCAATAAAAGATATTACCTCATTCACTTTGTCTTTCTAATATGCTGGGACCGACATGGCTATAACAACACTGCATACTTTGCACTTGTCTTTATTTAATTTCATTTTGTTGATTCAGACAGTTTTCCAATGTGTCAAGGTTGGTTTGAATTCTAATTCTGGCCTCCAAAGTGCTGGCAACCCCTCCCAGCTTGGTGTCATCTGTACATTTTATAAGTGCACACTCCATGTTGTTATCCAGGTCATTAAAGAAAATAGGACAGGACCTAGGATAGACCCCAGTTGTATTAATTTAAATGGAAGAAATGGGTTCAAAGAAGTTAACATGACCCTGAAACTCTCCAACATTGAACAGTGTTTTTAAAAGTTCAGGGTTTAATATACAGACTTCAGCCTGCTTAGGACCATGGGAAACCCATTTTTTTTAACTTTGGTTAAAAAAAAGGGAAAAAAAGTTTAAGAATTTGAAATATAAAATGTTAAGGCTTTCATTTTAATCATATCCAATGTTCATTTTCCTTTAGCTATAGAGAATTTTTATAAGGGAAAAAATTGTTTGACAGCCTTTTAGGTGGCATTAAAGATTATAACTGTCCTTTTTGTGCAAAGGAGCAAAAGTTGGTTGAGGTGCTCTGAAGCTGCTGTTGCAGCTTGATTCTGTTTTTTAGAAGACAAAATGACAAAAGAGGGCAGAGGAAAGAATAGCAAAAATAGCAAATGCAGCTTCTGTCTCTGGTGTTGATTTTTATTTGCAATCTCGCTGCTGGAAAAACACAGACACCGCGGTGGTCTTATTAGCCACTCAGAGGCCTGTCAAACTTTTACCAGAATTGAGCTCTTTAAATGCAGTGCCCTAGCTTTCTTTCTGGCCACAGGGTTACAGCAGTGTTAGAAAATATAAAGTCTTGGCCGGACTCTCTTAGTAAGCTGAAGGGAAAAAGGATAGAGATAGAAAACAGAAGAAATAAAGTAGGGAAGGAAAAGGACACTTTGGGTGTTGCGAGCAGCCAGTCTCATGTTCCAGTTGGTGTTTGGGATTTAGTCAGGGCTGGAGGAGGTGTCATCTGGGTCCCTCTCTCTGGCCTGGTCTGGTCAGGACAGCTCTTGGGATTAGAATAAAGAAGGCACAGTGGCATCATGCTGGATTCTGGTGTCCCAGGCAGGGTGGATTTGATTTAAATCACTAGTCAGGAAGACTCGATTTAATAATGGATTTCTACATAAAAGTGCATTCTTGTTGGTTGTTATAACCTTAATACGTGTTCTTCACAACTCAGAGATAGATGTAGGCTTCATTTTTAGGAGGTACACACTATACATTTTTAAAGTGATTTATTTTGAAAACTTTTCAGATTAGTTTTACAGCTATATCAGAAAATTAATGATTGTTTGGTTATTTCATTTACCAAAGGTAATTGAAGCAGATATTTATGAAGTCATTGAGAGGTGAACTCTCTCCAATTCAACAGGTTAATCATTAATATTTGGAGGATTTTACTGCCATGCTGTATTAGGAGGAGAACATCACCAGAAAAGACTTTTAAATTGTTTTATTTAACTAAAACAACAAAGTTATGTATTCTGGATTTTTTCTTCAACAGCAAACATAATATTTTAACAAAACAAACATGAATTTTTGAATTTAGTTAAACATTTAAGTTTTTTAAAATTAGTTTTTTACTAAAATAGTTAAATGAAATATTAAAAAAAAAACAAAATTAAATTGACTATGTCAGCCAGGTCAACATGAGAAACTTAAAATATTGGCTTCTGCAGCTAACTCAGTCATCTTCACCTTCATTTTCCTGTTTGTTCATAATCTGGAAAAGAAAAACAAGCTTTCCTGCTTTTTCAGGTTCCAAACGATTTCTCAATTTGGAATGAATTAGTCCAAAGGAAGAAAATATTCTTTCTACACTGGCAAAAGAAGCAACTGCTGCTAAAAGTGAAATTATAACTTCAGTAGTCTCTGAATCCAAGTGTTTAAGTGACTTCCTCCAGTTCACTGGTGTGACTTTCTTTAAAACATCATCAGCAAACATATATTTCTTGAATGGTTCACCCTTAGCTCTGAAGTTTATTACACTTGGTATTATGGAGGGATGATTGCTGGATGTCCATGTCATAGCCAACTCCTCTTCTTCAGCAGTTAAGGTTTGACCCTGGTACCGACTATTGAGAAATAATATATAGAGGTGAGAATATTTGCAAGAAAATGAGCTGGAGATAGTGCTTGTCTCATTTGTTTTTTTAATGCTTGTAATTTAACTCTGTCATTGCATATTTCTCTTTTTAAGATCTCACTCAGTTCCTTCCAAATTTCAACAGCGTCAGCAATAAAACAGCTATTTCCCTGCATTTTGTTCAAGGCTACAGAAATAGGCTTCAGGGTACTCAGCATGTAACATTTCTCTTAAGCCCCAATGTTGAGAACTTTGGCTGTGACAGTGCTATCTATTTTTTCACGATTTTGTTCACAAACTCATCAGATTAGGCCAGTTCTTGATATAGTGCTCAAAACAGTCCATTACTGAGTTCCATCACACATCTTATGGGAGAGAGAGCTTGATTCCTCCCACATTTTTCAGAGCAGCTGGTGTAAAGTGGTTGTTACGGAAGTATTTTGCAATTTTAACAACATTAGCCTTTATTTCTGGCACACTGTAGTCTTGGCTAGGAGGTGCATCAAATGAGCATTGCAACTGTATGTTATTAGCTTGGGACTCTCTTCTAAATAATTTCTTCTCATCTTGATACATTTGCAGCATTGTCTGTGACCAAGCTGCGTACTAGACATTTTAATTTTTTTCCCACAGTTTGTTATAGCTTTTATTGCTACTACTTGTAAGTATTCTGCTGTGTGTGCAGTTCCTGATGTATCAATTGTTTCTGTAAGGAAGACATTCCCCCCTTCTCTTGTCACACAAGCACATACAACAGGGTCATTGTGGATATTGCTCCACCCATCAAGACGCAGATTAACAATTTTACCCTCTAGACCTTTTGCACACTGCTCAATTTCTCTTTCATACACGTTATCCAGCAATTTGCTTGTGACATCTGCTCTATTGGGTGGACTGTATCCTGGTCTTAATGACTTGAACCATGTTAATGAAGTGTGGGTTCTCAATCATACGGAAAGGAGAATTTGTTGCATAAGCAAACCGGGCAGTTTTTTCATCAATTACCCCTTTTTGTAATCTGCTGATTCTTATCACAAATTTATCTATGGTTGTTTCTGGATGATGGAGGTTTTTTTTTTTTTCTTTTTGCTACAGGTGATATACTGTGCACTCACCCTCCCCTGCAGCCGCTGTCACAAACCTCTTTCCCTT